AATCCACTACATAACCCTATATATATATATATAGTAGTTTCCAGTTCATTTTCCATTTTCTTTTCCATTTGATTCTCCATTATTAAGGGGGATACTAGGAGTTTAGACAATGGCTCAAATGATCAGCCACCGCATTCAGCTTTTTGGGTGATGAAGGTTCTGCGGCGCCTCCACTTTGTGAGGCGACTGCTTCCCAGAGCGCATATCTGACGCTTGTTGTTTTGGGTTTTGAATTCGGAGCTAGGGTGAGGGCTATGATTCAGAATCTAGGATGAGGGCATTCTCCTCCTCCGTGCCGTTGCGACATAACCCTGAAGCCTTATAACTGAACCCCATATCTTAAAACGTCATTCAATCCAACTCCCCAAGCCCTGTCGGAGCTATAGTTTGAACTCCTAGTATCCCCCCTGATGACCCCTATAGTGGTCCCCTATATACACGCTCTTCAGGACTTCAGATTATGGCTCATATAGCCCCCTGCAACCCTTGTACAAGTTTCTCAGGAGTATCCCTGTTGTGAGAAGCCCCCGTATCCTGAACCTGACCATATCCTTAGGATTCAGGGTCTAGATTTTAAGGTTCAGGATTGGGGTGAAAGATTTTAGGGTTTTGCTACGGGACCCTTTGCAGGAATTCTGTGGTTTTTAAGGTTTAGGGTTCAGGGTTTAGCCCGAGCCCTATCTTCTACAGCCTTCAAGCCCCTAAATCCCTAAACCGCTATTTAAATCCTCCAATCCCTGAAGAGCAAGTTCCCCGGACCCCTGGTACAAATTGTAATTTCCGCTGGTTCTTGAAATTACAGATAGCGAAACACGGATGTTTTCAGGTAACTTCCAGTGTGCTATACAGCTATACACCCCTAAACCCTCAGGCCTAAGCCCTAATCTCGAAACCCTACACCGTGACTTTCACTTTAGAGCCATCTCAGCGAGCAGCGCTTCTCTCTCGCAGCCGGTGGCCTGCAGGCACATCAGCGATGAGACTTGACGGTGTAGGAATCAGGGTTTAGGGTTTAGGGTCTAGGATTTCAATCAGCGCTGTCCATCCGAGATTTGCCAAAAATGTCCAAAAATCTTAATCTGAGTTGTAAGGCGCAATGCCGCAGCTGATTGGCGTCGTTCTTAGCGACCTTTTCAATTGAGAAGGACACTGGTCATGAATGAGATGCGCAAGCTCTAGAAAGTGCCCTCTTCGCCAAGTTGGCTTGCTTTGCTGCATCTAGAGAGGACTGGTATTACATGAGTGCCGACCTGAAGCAACAACACGAATTTTCTGCAAAAAGATTTAAGTGCGAAACCCTGCCTAAGATGCAAAAGCAGTCTCCAAGAGTTAGCATGCGGCAGAGGTTTTGACACGCAGCATGAGGCCGTTGCTCTTCTTTGATCTGTAATGTACAACGGGCCTTTCAAAGGCTGCAGGGAGTTAAAGCGACAGTAACCGATCACTTCAATACCATGATCGGCCGCGATGCTCCTGGTGGCTGCTGGATGGCTCATTCCATGTCTTCCATCCTTGTCCATACGTGTTCCTGGACTTCTGTTGGCCCCAGGCCCAGTTCCAGTTGGACTGCTCCGAGGTAACCTCTTCCAGAATTGGCTGGCCCTTCTGAGTGAGCTCAGGAGCCCAGCCTTTGGACGATACCCGGAACATTTGCACTCTGCCATCCCATGCAATGGCATCCACTGTGAAATATGTGCCAGCCTCTATGTTGAAGCCGCTGCATGGGCCGTCCTTGCGGGGCTCCTTGCGGAGATGAATCGTGGAATTCGCCCGCATGCTCTTGTTCACTTCGGTGAAACCTCTGGGCTTGTAATGCCTCCACAGATCTTCTTTGGGAGCATTGCATTCCATAGCTGTGCTGGCTGTTGACTCTGGAATCAGAGCATCATGAAGCCCTTCCGGTTGACTGCAGCCCTCCGGAATGCTGATTGTTGTTGGCTGTGTATCCTGGGCTTGAAGCTTCTCCAGCCTTGTCAGGTGCACAATGGCCCCGATATACCATTGCTTCCGCTCCTCCATCTGAATTAGCGAAGGACGCTCCTTGCCGTGGCTTGGCGATTGTGGGGCTGTGTTTGCAGCTGGGACTGCTGTGCTGGGCGTAAGGGGCGGGGAGGCGACGGAGCTCATGTCTGTGACATTTGCAAGGCGAGTGCTCATCTCCTCCAGCTGCTCACGCAACATCAAGTTCACTTTCTCCAACTCTGACATGCGTGCTTCCAGCGGCAGCTTCATCTGCTGCACTTGTTCACTGACCATCTGAGCCAGGGCCAGCTTTAAGCCCGAGAGGGCCGCATCCAAAGCATCTGCCATGAACTCAGCTCAATGTTACCGCTGGGGTTCTTTGACCCGTCTGTGTGGTACCCTCCAATCCAACAGCTGCCGCAGTGAACTCTCAAGTAGAAAATGTGCCATGGCACGTAACTGCTGTGTCTTCTCTCCTGGCTAAATGCTTCAAAGGAGACGGGCTCAAGTGCTGGCCCGGTCTAAGGCCTGGTTACGTAGGGTTCAGGGTTCAGGATGCGCCAGGAAAGGGAGTTTCAATGAAGGCTGAATGACTATAAAGAGACCAGCTTCATTCTGTTGGACTCAGGGCCAATTGCTGATGTTCAGTGTTCAGAAGGCTACCGGCGGCACCTCTGCTCTGGAATTCGTGGAGGCCCCAACATGGAACTGCCCTTTCAGGGACAGTCGAGGATAGCTGCCTTCAAATCTTGGTTTTGGGGAGCTTAACACGCAAACTGAGAATCCGGCACATCCGCTCACAACATGCACGTAGCAAAGCACTTTTTCAGTCTTTAAAGGTTGCAGCGCCAAGTGTCCAATGTCCGCCAGATAGCCTTAGATGCCATAACCCTGAGGGGAAGCAGACCTGTTTCCTAAACCCCTTCCTCTCCGCCTGTACATGCACCTGCTTTTTCCAAGCTCTCTGACCCTTTCTTGCTCCAATATATTGGAAGACCTGTTTGATGTCACGGTGTGCAGGTGCGCGATGATAGGGGGAGGGATGAATCCGCCAGTCCATCCTGATGAAACAAAGCATGAGCCAAACGTGTACAGCACGCAGCCAACCAAGAACAAACTAGATCTTGGATACCGTGTTTGTCGGAGACAACAGAAGTCCCTAAATCTCCAACAGCTACGTCCCAAATCCCGGTCATGTCATGGGCTGCTAAACTAGAATTTCTCCAGCATCACGCGGTCTTGCTAGCACTTACGTGTTAGTGCCGGCTAACACCTACTATTCTGGGCATGGGAGAAAGGATCCTGATGGTAGCCCCCATGCGTTGGTTTCCTCCAAATCTGAGTCTTCGATCGAATTATACTTTTTGGGAGACCCGCTTCTTGGAAATACCGACGGGACTTTGCGAATACTCACTATAGCAAGTTCCTCACATTCCCTACCTGCCAGTCGAGGAAAGATGCTGTCCAAGTAGCGCGACGTGTACAAAGGCTGCTGTCCCACTCCACATCCGCTGATCCTTCTTCTTGTGTCCAGGAGGTCTTCCAAGGCAGAATATTTTTTGGGGCCAGTAGCAAAAAGTTACGGAGTAAGGGATTGTATGGTTCAAAGTCCAGGGGCTGAAAAGAGAGGTGGAAAAAAGCCGGCACTACTTGCAGACTCAGATTCAGAAATGCGAAGGTGATGACCTGGGTGGTGTGCGGCACAAGTCCCACACTCCATCCCAGACCCCTGAGAGGAGCTAGAAGGTAGAAGCCCCAATACGGCATCCACCTAATGCTGCCACCGGGCAATTTCTAGGAACCCAGGAAGCCTCAAGGGCGAGCTACTTTCTAGATCATCCTGCTTAGAACTGAACCGAAAATCTCACAAAGGACTTCGATTATGACGAGGTGGTAACAATCTCTACGGGCTTCAACTATCCCTAAGGCCTATCCACCCCTAAACCCTAACCCCAAACCCTAAACCCTAAACCCTAAACCTTGATGTGGTCATTGGGTTCAATGAGACCAGGCCTACAGGTGCTAACAATGTAATTGGTTTAGGGTTTAGGGTTTAGGGTGATGGCACGGACGTAAAAAGATTTAAAGTCTTCAGCGGGTATGATCTATGCATGTATGTATGTGTATCTATCTGTATATCATGCAATGGGACCCCAACATAGACCTCGATGTACTATAATCCTTAGTACAGGGACTCCCGAAAGACCTCCCAAAAGGGTACTCCTAATCTTGGGAACCCCCCGATACATTATGAGAACCCGCGGGTTCTCACAGGGTCTGTCCCAGAGCCCTTGATAAAAGCATGCTCTGACAACGCGAAGATTCCTAGTCAAGTTAAAAAGCATTCCCAACGCTATCTTAGCCCATTCTACACCCTGTCCCAAATCCCATGGCTACTTACCCTTTGCAATTTGAAGCTGAACCTCTACAATGCAATTGGGGATGAATGCTAAATTCGAAGGCAACCACTTTCTATAGAAAGAAAGCTCCGACAGAAGGGAGAGTTTAGTTGTCCACCATGCGACATCCCCCGTGAGCTGACGACTGAGAGCATGTGCCAGCAGCCTAGGCACAGGATGCAGGGAGCTGTAAAGATAGTGGGTTTTTGTTTGACTGAAATGAGGGAATGAATAAGAACACCATAGCCAGAGGCTGAACTTCCTGAATGAAGAAGATATGGCGGGATCAGGTGAACTAATTACCCTACACCCCAGAGCCTATGGTTTACAGATTGCATGGTGAGAGTTTGGCGGGTTGTGGGGTTTGCGGCCCAAAGGTTATGGCCGGATTTGACTTCAATGGTAAGCCAGGGGAAGCTACAGGCCCATGTGAGCCCCAGGGCATAGGGTACAGGGCTGGAAGTCTACCCATCACTTTTCCGCTTGAAGCCTGTCAGAGGCTACAGCACCCCCATCCTCAGCCTACTACCACACCTCATCGGCCAGTGTATTAATCCCCTCCCCTTGTATTAAATACGCAGCCCCCCAACTACTCTCGATACTAAAAATCTTGCGTGACCTTACTATACTATGGTACTATAATTCCCAAGGTATAAGGCACTTAGGGTCATGCAGGATTTTTGATATCCACCGTATTGATACTAAATCATTCCCATCTGGGGCGCGCATGTGTGAATACGGCATACGGGCGTCAAATGTCAGAGAGAAAGAAGTACAATCTTAAACCCCCAACCGGACTGATACAGGAGTACCCCTCCCCCAACTAACATCCGGCCTGAACGCCGGCCCTATACAGACTACTGTCAATACTGTCCTTTGAAGTTCCATGTCAGTTTGGGGAGGGGCCCCCAAACCCTAAACCCCTCTACATTCCTATGTGCCCCGATATAATTCCGATAGACACTGTTGTCCCAATGGGTTCTTGGGGGGCACCTTAAAACCCCCTAGACTTAATCACATCACTATGTATCCCCATATGATTCTGCATAACGCCGCTTTTGAGGTTCCATGTTATTTTGGAGGAGGAAACCCTAAACCCTATACATTCCTTGTCTATTCCTATATACACCCATATAGTCCCCAATAAAAACCCTCTACATGTTCCAGGTTAGCTTGGGGGAACCAATTTTAAGCTGAGAAACGCAACAGCAGCCTCCCAGTGCATTGCTGGAGCACATGCACCGACGGCTGAGCTCAGGGTCACAACGTCTGCCTGCTACTCGCCGGTGCTTATGATTTAGTGGATCCCTGTTGTACGCCCTTTTTGGTCCCGTATAATCGCACGTCTGTTCTCGTCTCCACTCACCCTCAAGCAGTGGTAAGGCTATTTCTGTGATGGGAAGATGTTTGTAGCTTTTGGAGTGAGCTTTGAGATGCGACGCATTTTTTCTAACATTCATGTTGGGATTTGAGGCTTGAGATATGGCAGCTTCTCCAAAATGTCACCCACATAATTCCTGAAAGACACCCCCATCATAACCCCCTCACCTTGCGACCCCCCTATATCCCTGGCGTCACCAAAGGCCCCCTATTTTGCGAAACTGCCGTCTGGCTATGTGCCAAAAGGGCTGTCCTCCTTTCACGCCCCTGGCTTTCAAGACTCCGAAACCCTAAACCATAGGAGGGGCTCCAGATTGGGACAAATCCATGTGGTTTGCTTTAAAAACCCAAGCGTGCACCACCAAGGCCTCTCTCTAAATTGAGAAGAGTCTAACCTTCCACATCCTCAACTATAACCCCATACCACCCATCCTAAATCCCAAACATGAGTCCAAACACGCTGACTCCTAAATTCCCGAACCCTTTAAACTCTCAATCCTACCATACCCAATTCTTGAATCACCCGGCAGCCTCAAGACTGGAGTCCTCCAACTGCTTCAGAAGGGGAAAAGTCACTTGCCACTGATGTCCTGCTCGGATTTCGAAAAAAACTTCAGGTTATTTGGTAGTTTCCATGAATAGGGGGATCCCGATATAGCAGCCTCATGTGCCATAATCCTTTAACATCCCTGATAGGGTACCCTGATTTTGAGAAACCCTGCTGCCTGTACATTCTACAACCATCAGTTTCCATTTCATGTTACGCTTTCTTATCCACTTGATTCTGCTTTTGGGGGATGATGCCAAAAGTTTAGGTTATTTGAGCTATAATCTACGCCTAGTATCATCCCCCTTAATAAGCCCTAGAATAGTCCCCCTATAATACCCCTTTAATGAGTTGAGACTATACCTCGTTTGAAGTTGTTCAACTTATGGCAAGGGGCCTGGGGTTAGGGTCTTGGGCTTGGGTGCCCTGGCATTAGGGTGCGGGGTTCAAGTTTGGGGGTGTGGAGCTTAAGGTTAAGCCCCAAACCCTAAAGCGCTTAGAACATCGGCCTCAGGGCACGCCTAATGATGTCAGGAAGATTCAGGTATGATATTGATGGCTTAGGGTTGAGGGTTTCAGGTTAGAATTTCAGCGTCTCTATCCGATTGCTTTAAAAGATTTTGATTGTCTCTTCCTCCTCCCAGAAAAGAAAAAGGGCTTGGGGATTGACACTCTTTTTGCTTTGCCGGTAACGGTTTAGTGCTGAACAACGGTTTTAGCCTTGCTTTCAGAACTCCTCCCCTCCCCCAAACTAAAATGAAACCCCATTTATGCTGATAGACGACAATGTCAATGTGGTCTTTGCAGGGACCTTGTGAGGTTCCCTGTTAGTTTCGGGGAGAGTAAGCCCGCAAATCCCCAAACCTCAATACAAACCCTCTGACGGCCCGTTTTTGTCCTTGCCCACAGGCACTGATCACAGCGCTGTGTGTGAAGACATCCCCCTGCAAATTCTCCTCTTCTGCTGATCAGAAAGGGACAGTGCTTCTTGGGCTGATGATTCAGGAGTTCGGGCTTTTAGATGTTTGAGTCCTGGAGGGTGCTGGGGTCAAGGAATAAATATGAGAAGGCTCGCATGTTGCGACTGCTCCTGCAAACTAATCAACATGGAAGCTGATAAGGGATTCTTCGTAGCACATGAATGTTGATGTCTTGGGAAGAGGCTGGGATCCAAGGATGCGCGGCTGAGTAGGATTGCAAGAGCAAATCTAAAGAGAAGTAACAAACAAGATTCATATGCCATTCCCGTCTCACGGAAATCCTAGAATCCCTCAGTCCCCTTTACATATCCTACTGACTAGGACACTGAGACAAGGCCTCAAAGGAGGAGCCGCCAGGAATATCCCTTGACTTTACTTCAAAAAAGAGCCCACAATTTGGATACACCCCCGAACCCTAAGTGCAAAATCCTGACCCCGAAATCCTCAATCTTCAGCAAGGACATAACTCTAAACCCGAATACCTTTTAAGCCAGCATGAGCAACCTCAGGAGGATGGGTGAACCGTCACGGTAAGGTTACAGTCCTCCTGCAGCTGCACCAGCAAGGTCAGGGCTTGCGTCCATTCTGCAGCATTTTCGCAAGCCCCGATAGCGGCATTGAAAGCGAAGAGCGTCTTTTCCACAGCGAATTCAGAGATCCGTGCTAACAAATTCCTTGGTTCCCGATAGTTTCAGGGTCAGCGGGTACACCTCCAGCAGCCCCAGGAGATTTCCATTGCATGTGGGTGATACTCTAGAGTATGTTGGGTGCTTCCAGTTTCTTTTGCATTATCCCAATAAAGCCCTATACCACCATATATTATCCCAATATTACCCCAATACGCTATAATATATGGTTCTTTCTTCTTACCGCACGCTGCGGCCTTCGCCACAGAATGCTCGCGTTCATGCTTGTCTTTTGTCCGAGGCTGTTCTTGAAATCGTGTAAAACAGAAACGACTGTAGCTGCTTGTTCATGGTAAACCTTATCTGCAGCCAGCCGCTATTTCCAAATGATGAACAGAAAGGATGCCAAGGAAACTTTCAGCTACATCATCACGCCTAAACCCTCAGCCCTAACTCGCAAAACCCTAAACTTTAAAACCCAAACCTCGCATATTGGACCCCAGGTTCAATGCATGTTCCCACTGCTCTGCACGGCCGCAGGTGCGGATGGCTGTCTCCACAGTGGTGGCATCCCCCTCCTAGGACAATCTGGAAGGTTTAGGGTCATAACCCTAAAATCTAAACCCTGAACCCTAAATCCTACACCCTAAACATTAAATGCTACACCCTAACTCTAAATCCTGAACCCTGAACCTGCAACCCCAAATCCTAAATGCTAAACCCCAAACCTCGATCTTAGAAGTCTAGGTTTCAGGATAGGGTTTAGGACTTGTAGGAACCAGGATTCGCTTTCCGGTTTTGGGCGTGCTTCTCTTGGTCATGCTTGGGAAGCTGTCGCAAGTGATGGGTCTATAGAAAGGCTCTAAGCCTGAAAAAAAAAGGAAAATTTTGCCCAACAATGATCTGGCTTCCACGCCCTCTCGCTTCAGCTGCTGCAGCAAAAGCAAAGCACACTCCCACTGCACGCCGCGCTCGCACGCAGCTAACATGGCGTTGTAGGCTATGAAGTTGCGCCTGTGCCGCTTTCCTTGTCTGTTCCACCCGGGATGCAAAACATGAGCCCGTATCCCTTTTGGGAAGCCCTGTGACCGCCCATACACGCTATAAACCCCCCCTTTAAAAAGTTTAGACTATAGCTCACATGAAGCCGCCGGAGCCTAGTAGTAACACATGTCTCAAAAACCCTCCTACACCAAGGTATAGACGGCTGTTTAGCGCTTAGGGGGTTTAGGGTGTAGGGTTAAGGGAGGAGGTTTGTCATACCAGAGGCTTAGAGGTTCCAGCATGAAGCCTGTCCACGTGTGTTTGAAAGGCTAGGAAGTACTGCATTTGACAATGCAGAGCTGTTTCCCAACGAGACGAAGCCCAGCACCTTAGATGTATGGGAACCTGCTTGATTGACGAATGAGATCATCTCTAAACCCTAAATAAAGCCTAGGGCTTTTTAAGGGGGATGCTAGCGATGCTTTTTGGTATGACTTGGTATGAGCTGCTGTGCTAATCCCCATTAAGTAGACAGAATATGGGGTATATGGGGATCTTATTATGATATAGCCATATTCTATCTACTTAAGGGGGACTGCCGGGTTTAAGGGTACTGCAAGGGCCTACATACCTTTGTTGACTCAGGTTGCGGGGATAGATTTGAACGCGAGTACCTTGGCTGACCCTGTGAAATGGTTACGACTGTCTCCACTTGCAAGCCAGTCTCCGCATTCTGCGAAAAGCTCCAAGGCCCGTTCCCACTGCTTGGCTCTCCTCAGCAGATCTTGGGGGGTTATTCTGTTAAGATCCGGTGTTTTGGGCTTTAGGTCCAGGTTTTAAACAATTTAGCAGCAGCTTCAAGTGACAGGTCCATGTGCTTAAAATCTGGACCATGGATCTTCGTCTTACTGCTCCGTAAGCTGGAGTGGCCGAGCGAATATGTGTACGACTACATCACTAGGCTAGGTATGCAAAATACGAAGCAAATCGTGTCTATAAGAACTAGTCTGTGACACTATTGGATATTAGCTGGTTATAACTTCAATTTTTCCGTACTTGGCTCGCGGGTCTTCGTGCGTGGGGCTCATAAAGTGCAGTAGGATGGAGTAGGGTTTGGGGCATCTGCTATTTGTATACAAGGGTTACACAGGAACAACATGAGCAATTATTTAGGCTTCTGCATCAAGTATATGCCAGGGCAAGTGCTCTAAGCCTATGTAGCTTGCGCTTTTATCATATAACCCCATTTGGCCCTGCCAATTCCTCTCACGACAGCAAGTAGCGGCGTTCTCAAACGCAACCTTGAAGAAGTCGTGGCCAAAACGATGATTCATGCTTCTACCGTAAGCCTTCTATACTCCTATAGAACCACGTATAAACCCTATTCTTGTAGCTAGAGTCACACTCCCCTAAACCCTCAGCCCTGAATCCTAAAACAAAGGGACCTGGCATTACGCAGAGGCCAAGTTTCTGGCAGGCACTAATGGCGGCGCTATAGGTGACGACATTTGTTGGCACCTAGGGGTGAGGGTTTTGGATTCCGGGTTTAGGGTTGGCAAAGCCAAGGTTCTCAGCAACTTTTAGGAGTAGTTGGTGAACCTAGCAAGACGGTATTCCTTATATAACATAACGTACATGAGAGGAGGATGTAATCTTACTCTCTACTGTGGGCTATAACATCCCAAACAAAACTTTTATATGGGTTTCGGATAGGGCTTGGTCCAGGGTTACTTCCTTTTGGGGGCTACTATAGTGTTCCCAACAAACTACTGCTTCTGTGGGCTTAGGATAGGGCCGGGGGACTTGGGTCTTAGGGGGTAGGGTGCAGGGGTTTAAGGGCAAGGGTTCAGGTGAGGTATGTGTCAAAATGAGGTCGGGACCTTGCGGGTTTAGGGAATGAGAGGTTGGCAACCTATGCGAATTGTCACACCACCCCAGAAGTACAGGGGGTCTTACCAGCAACTGTGGGCTACATACCCTAACCCAACAAAAACCTGCAGCTCAAATATTGTCCATGCGGGCCACGCATGATTCATCCCTGTGATACGCCTACATACTCTCTTCATGATCCCTGCTCCAAAACCGCAAACCCTGACGTGGAACCGTCTCGCGCTTCATCTCGTCCAGCAAAGCCAAAGACAGCTGCCACTGTGCCCCTTTCTCCTCAACATGTTGGTCTCGGATTTCTAGTCTCCCTTAAGTAGATCGAACATGGGGTATATGGGGGTCTTATTATAATATACCCAAAGCCCTATTCTACCTACTTAAGCGGGACTATAGGCAGTTCGGGCTTCAGATTTGAAGTATTTGGAGCCTAGCCTTCTTGTGATCCAGGCCAGGAACTAGGCTGTGAAAACTAAGACAGAAAATTGCGGGATATTTCGGGATAAAACCTTACATAAACTCAGGGAATTTCCATTCCACGGCTTTCTTGGGGCTAATTACTTGCCCGTGGAACATGAGCTGTGTGACCCTTTGGCGTTGACCCTGAGCCAGAGATTTGAAGGCTCAGGAGTTTGTATGTCGCTGGTCCTCGGACCAGTTAGGCTACCTTGAATGCCTATCATTGGGAGTCTTGATCGAGGCCTTTTCTTAGCAAAAACAGACTCTGCAGGCTTCCAGTACAGGGGCCAACAAAGGCATCATAGATCGGCGATTGTGCTTTGGAGCGGCTATCGCAAGCAGGCCTTGAGTGTCGATTGCTTGGAACTGTCTAGGTTCTCTTAAACAGCCGGTCGGAATCGGCAGGGATTACAATTGATGCAGCTCAGTTTCAAAGGCGCTGAGGACAGCGTTGTGAGTGACGATGCCAGCATCCAAGTCTACATCTGCGAGTGTTGCCTTGGAGTTGGACAGAATAATCCTGATAAACAAGGCTTGTGCAGGGCTCTGTCTATGGATATTCTCTAGCTCTATGCAGTTGGTCGTCTACATCTGGCCCTAATGCTCCGTCCAAGACAAAGGATGAAGAGACGGTTCAGATTGCCAAGGGCACACACCAAACCCGGCTTGTTGCATGTTGAGATGCCAACTACCCCGACTTCAAACGCAACCCGTTTGTCTGAACATGCGCCTCTGCAGAGGTAAATCCTTGTCCTTGGCCCTACCCAGGACACCAAAAGCTGTTGCGAGAGGCATATTCTGAATTGAGGTGAATTCAAGCCCTTCTTTAAGGGGTTTGGTGCTCTTTACATAGGCGTCATGGCATCTTTTCTGAACAAGTGAGCGACTGGCATGAATCCATGCAAACTGTTCCAAACACCCAAAAGTAAGAGACAACTGCAAACTATGATGAGCCAGGGCGGAGGAGGCTTGCCGGGAGTCCTCGTAATGCATTACGACTAGTATTCTTCTTGATGTAGGTTTCATTGATTGTTATTCTGACGATTGTTACTGTCATTCTTATCAGGCCTTACAACCTATGAATATGACGTGCTCTGTCCTCTTTTCATCTTAGGCTTGGAGCCTTGATATTAAACTCAACCATCCTTCACCTTCCTCCCACAACTCCATCAACACAGCCTGGTGGCGAAAGTGTGCAGGGCCCATTGCCACTGTAGGCCCTTTTCGCAGGCCTGGATCAGTACGACTTCAGCAACAGTTTGGTAACAGCATACTTCAGTGGCTTCAGGACCCTTAAGCTGCGATCCCCCTGGACCTATGCTAAGAAGAATATTTGTAATCATCCCCTACCCTTAAGGTTATACTATAGTAAACCCAAGCCCCACATCCAAGGGCACCGCCCTGGAAACCTTGAGTAGAAGGAAACCAAATAGCTATCAATCTAGCGATGAAGCAGTATGACAGGTTGAGTTGCGCATGTGTGTATATAATATGCACACGTGTGCGTGAGGCCGGTTCGAAGGTGAAACAGGAAGGTCTTGTCAGCGAACTGGAAATCCTAACGCTTTCCTTAGAGCCTGAACGCTAGACCTTGAAGATTGTCGTATGGAAGTCTGTCAAAATTAGCCCGCTAGAATCCTGAATAGAGACACCTCAATGTGCAAGTGATCCCCACATATTCCTGCGCCCCTGGAACCCTCTTGTTTCGAGAAACTGCGCTGTTTTTTCAGCTGAACGGAGCCCGTCCTCCATAACCCCACAAGGGAGCCGCACAACCCCAGACCCCTGAAACCCATCGTAAGCCCTTATGTTGACCTCCTAGTAATACACCCCCGAGTAACTGCAAAATCCATATCCCAGAATGTCATTACACTCCCCCCCTTCTTGCAAAGTCCAATCTGCCAAACGTCAAAAAACTGGAAGCGCCGGAAGAGCAATGTGTACTATGGGCGCGTACTACTCTTGGCTGCGACGACTGGAGCTCTAGCTCATGGACCCGGATACCTTTAAAGGCTCGGGCCTACATCCTCCGGGGGGGAGGGAGGGAGGGGGTTGTTCTTATTATGAGGTCAACATTAAGCTCACGCTGCCCACAAATTTTTCAAATCTCAAAGCTTACGAAAGGCGGAGTCTTCTGCACTGCGACCAGGAGGCACTAATGGCCGCATTGTGGCTGATCTCATTGCCCTCTACCAGACTCTCCGCGAGGCCTGCGCGAGAAAGAGCTCCCACAGGGGACCCCTACGTCAAACCTGCAGAAGGATGCGTCTGGACATTCCTGCGTGATACGGGTGAAACATCGCCACATTCAATCCCAAAAGCTACAAAAAACAACACGGCACGACAGAAATCTAGCGGCCAGCGGCCCTGGAAACGGCGACTACGCTCGTCAAAGGAGGGACTCAGGAACTATCCAGCGTCTCCTTTCCTTGGAACTGCACGCTACTCACTGTGTGTCAGAAAGACCAGACAACACAGCTGAACTTGACGGCGCTACAAGCAAGTGCAAGTTGGAGGAAGAATGCTGGAGGCAACGGGATCGCAAGTCCAGGTGAGAGCGGCCGGACCCAGCGGCGTGGCAAGGCTGCAGGAGGAGGGGACGGGG